TTTTATGTTCAGAGCTGGCCAAAAATTATAATTAGAAGTTCATATAGGGTCTCTTTTTTTTGTACCAGGGATTGAATTTAGGGGCACTTGACTACTGAACCACAACCCCAACCCTATTTTGTATTTTATTTAGAGACAAGGTCTCACTGAGTTGCTTAGTGCCTCACTTTTTCTAAGTCTGGTTTTGAACTCGTGATCCTTCTGTCTCGGCCTCTCAAGCCACTGGGATTACAGGCATGCACCATTGTACCCAGCCATAATATGGCCTCTTAAAGCTGATTTGATTCATGTTCTAGAATACATTTATAATCTAAAATATTTTAATTACATTGCATGCCCAGGGATCCCAGGGATTAGTAAGGACAGTAAATTATTTGTGAGAAATAAAGAAGATGACATAGCTAGGCACAGTGGTATGTGCCTGTAATATTAGGATCTTGGGAAGCTATGACAGGAAGATCACTTAAGCCTCAGAGTTGGAGGCCAGCATGGGCAACATAGCAAGACCTCGACTCAAAAAAAGAGGGATAGCTGAGGGTGTAACTCGGTGGTAGAGCATCTGCCTAGAATACACAAGGCTCAGGGTTCCATCCCCATAATCACACACATAAAAAGACATTGTTAGCTACTCCATGCAACTTTTGAAGAGTAAGCACCCTATGCAATCTCTGTTCTGCCTATGAATATAAACCAAGATTTAAAAATTCCTTTTTCTGTTACTTTAAAAAAAACAGTCATTTGGGATTATTTTCTCAGAACATTAGCAATCTCTTACTGTCTAAAAGTAGAGAACTAGTCTTTTGAAGCAGGAAATAGCCCAAGAAGTCAAAGATTATGTGAGATTTTTCTTCTCATGGATTTTTTTTTGGGGGGGTGGGGGGGAGTACAGGGATTGAACCTAGAGGCACTTAACCACTTTTCATAGATTTAAGAATTTACATGTATTTTTTTCCTTAAAATCTGTTACAGTAAGCAAAACATGATCCTATAAGACAGATCAATTTTAACTATCCACAAAACCAAAGCATTCTTTCTTTATAAAGAATTCTATGTACTGAAATTGGATTTAGAGCCCACCACCATCACCAACCCCTTCTTTTTTTTTTTTTTTTTTTTTTTTTTTTTTTTTTTTTTTTTGTAGAAAAATACAGATGGCAGAAGTTCTTCTGGAAGTCTTTTATAAAATAATCTGGTTTATTGTGAAAGCCTGTATTTTTTTCTGGTTTTCTCTGACATCCCTGGGGTGTCTTTACAGTGACATCTAGTGGTGGATAATGGCTTTTTGTGTTTCTGATTTGCAATTCTATTCCATTAGCCTATTTCACTTCCCTGGAGTTGTCAGGTTGCATTTTTCAAGGCTTCTAGAAATTCCACTTGAACTAATTTTATCAGGGAGTGTGGTGATCTATACTCTGTGAGAGCTTTAAAAACACTTGTTAGTTGAAATGGGCCATGAGAGCCAGTCATACAGGAAATGCCAAAAGAAGCATTGATTCAAGAATATCTGAAGTCAATGGGCATTGGTAGGTCGTGAGAAGTACGAAAGGATGCAAGATGGGAAATAGGAGAAGGCATGAGCCCAAGAATAGGTAGTTAACAAAAAAATAATAATAGGACAGCACAAATCTTCAGACTTGAATCCCAGTTCTGCCAGTGATTAGCTCTGAGACTTGGGGAATTACCCATCCAGCTCTCTAAACCTCAGTTTCCTGCTTGGTGAAATGCTTGTGCCAGTTAATCCCTGTTTAAATTGTAGAGCTAACGTCCGGCATGTGATCAGCACTCCATAAATGTCAGTTCCTCTTCCCTCGTACTATAACTCCTACTAACAACAAAGCACGGGCTGGCGGATCACTCTGCCTGGCAGCAGAGAGCACTTTTCCTCAATGGTAACTTGGCAGAGAAAAGGCGAGCAGAGAGGCTGGGAATGATGGCCCATCTGCTTTGGCTCACTCTTTCCAGTCTCTGCCTCTAGCACAGCCTGAATCCAGACTCTACGTCCTCACTGCTATGCCAGCCAAGCCCCTTCTTGGCACATGCCCTGGGGTGGCCGGCTGGGTGCCTGCTGTTGGAGGGAGTCCCGTGGCTATGGTGCCAAGCTTCACCAGCAGCCTCAGCTTCCGCTCTATCACTTACCAACATCCTATCCCTTTACTTTGCTTCCTCCCCACCTGCCTACCAACTCACTTCCCTTTGCCAGTGTCTTCACCCTGGACCTTCCAGGTGCCTCTCTCCTCTCCTCACCTTCCCAAGACTGTACCAGGTCCTGTGCCCTCCTGGCTTTCTCAGGACACTTTTCCATCAGGCTTCCCCCACCTCTCTCCTCCATGTTCAGCCTGACCCTCCATTGACTCTTCCCCCCAGATATCATGCAGCTCATAGTCTTAGCCATATCTGAAAACAAGCAAAACCTTTCCTTTAACATGTCTCCTCCTGAGGCTTCTGAACAAGTTTATGCCCTCCTCCCTCCACCCTATCTTCCTTTTTCAAACACATTTCTGGGAAGAATCCTCAATTTGCTGGCCAGAACTTCTCGCCTCCCGTTCAGAAGCTAATCTCCTTCATTGTGCTACTGTCTCCCTTGCACTACCAAATGGGCTCTCCTGTTTTCCTCTCAGCACTCTTTATGCACTGTTCAATCATTTTTTCCCCTTCCAGAAACTTCTCCGGGGGATTTCCATCATCCAGGTCCCTCTACTGATCTTGCTTCATCCCCTCTCTTGCTACTCTTCACAGTTGTCAAGGGTTCTCTCTCCCTTCTCTCCTTGCCTGTTCACCTTGGGCATTCCCTAGGTTTCACCATTGGGCCTCTTCTCTTCTAACTCTGTTTTATCTGTCCCCATGGCTTCTACTCCCTTTACCCCAACTCAGTCTTTTAGTTTCTGGCTGTGTCTACCAGACCCATCCCCTTGTGTCCATCCTTCACTCAGGCTCCTAAAATTCGATGTGTCTAAAAGAGAAATAATTATCTGGGCTTTCTACGGGCTCTTCCTTCTATGAAAGATACAACCTTGATACCTGGTTCTTCCCTCCCCACGTGTGGCCCTTGATCCATACTTCCTCTTTTACCCTCTGGGCTGTATCTCATCTCCCTGGTCAAGGGGCATATCCTCTGTGAGGACTGGGACTCCATCAGCCTCTCCTACTACCCACCCCAACACCAGGTGCTTTGTTAGATGTGCTTGACTTTACCACATCTGTCTATTCTTTTTGGCTACTATCCAGGTCAGACCTTTACTATTCCTGGCTTCCATTGTGTGAGTCTCCCAGCAGTTCTCTCCAGCTCCTGCCATCCCTCGGGCCCTTCTGTGTCCACAGCAATCTTTAGCAGGCTCCAGTCATTTTCTCCCTTTCAGCCAGCACCTTCTCCCTCCCCAGATTTGTTCTCTCTCCCCAGCTCTCTCCTGCACCCTGTGACCTACTAAGCATGAATGCATTTTGCTTTCTTGTGTGTAGACAAGAAAGGCTTTTTCTAGGACCTTCTCTCTCCTCCTACATCTTCGTTCTCCAACCATCTCTTCTTTCTTCTGCCCCCTCCAATATGGGGCTGTCAGCTGCTCCTTCCTGCTGCTTTCCTTCTGGGATGGTTGCCCCTTAAATGAATTTCTGGACCTCTCTGTGCTTCCTCTTTCTTGTGCAGTCTTCCCCCTCATCTGCAGTGTACTGATTTGTTTGTCTGTCTGCACTCCACTGGTTTCTCAGGCGAATGTCTTCCTCACTTTCAAAGTTTGTGGAACCTGGAAAGCAATTGGGTATCTCTATATTGTATACGAAACCAGTAAGAAACTATCTATCCATAAAGAAGACCATATTCCCCCACTCAGGTTGGGGACAGGCCTGCACCAAATCAGCCCTTAGTGGCTTCTGGATGAAGGAATAAACAAGTGAAGTATGCAGAAGGAAGTGGGAACAGGGATGTTGAAGGAAGGTCTCACTCACCAGAACAAGGAGATGCAGTTCACAAATCCCTTTCTTTGAAGCCTCTTCACCTTCCCTCATCACAGGTGTCTGACAACAAGGCATCCCTGCCGCCCAAGCCAGGGACCATGGCAGCAGGCGGCGGCAGACCAGCCTCTCTGTCCTCGGTGGCATCCTCCCCACTGTCATCCTCTTTGGGAACAGCTGGACACAGAGCCAACTCCCCATCTCTGTTCAGCACAGAAGGAAAACCAAAGATGGAGCCTGTAGCCAGCAGCCAGGCGGCTGTGGAGGAGCTAAGGACACAGGTCCGCGAGCTAAGGAGCATCATTGAGACCATGAAGGACCAGCAGAAGTGAGTGCCCAGAGACCCTTTGCACATGGCTTCTAGATGGCCCTCCACTAGGCCAGGACCTGGGTCTGAAAGTCTGGGTCCCATCCTGCCCCAAAGAGTGAGCCAGATCTCCCCCTGATGATGGCAGCAGTGGTTGGAGTGTGTGTGAACCCCAAGAGGCTTAATTTATACTTAAGTTATGCTGTGTGTTTTTATGTTCAGTCTACTGTGTGTAGGCAGGGCATAGGCTGGCCATGGGGTATACAGAATGAGTTTGTGGCAAGGACTGATACCCTTAGCAGGTTCCTAAAAAGAAAATTCTTGAAATCCTCTATAAAATACAGTATTTCTGTGTTAGTCAGCTTTCTATCACTGTGACAAAATACCTGAGAAAATCAGCCTTAACACAGGAAAGGCTTGGGGCTGAAGTGTGGCTCAGTGGTAGAGCACTTGCCTAGCATGTGTGAGGCACTAGGTTCGATTCTTAGCCTGCATATAAATAAATGAGTAAAAATAAAGGTCCATCAATATCTAAAAAAAATATTTTAAAAAGTAAAATTAAAAGAAAGAGGAAAGAATTATTTTAGCTCATAGTTTCAAAGGTTTCAGTTCATGGTTGTTTGGTCCCATTGCCTTCAGGCCTGTGGCAAGGAAGTACATGATGACATTATGTGATGGAAGAAACTGCTCACCTCATGGCATCCAGGAAGCAAAAGAAAAGAGTTGGCCAGGGTCCCAGTATCTCCTTCAAGGGCATACCCCCAATGACCTAACTTCCTTCCATTAGACCCCACCTCCAAAAGATTCCACCCCCTCCCAGTAGTACCACAGGCTGGTAACCAAGCCTTTAACTCATGGGCCTTTGGGAAACATTCAAGATGCAAACTATAGCAGTACATATACCACTTATTAAATAAGCCCAACAGCCAGATTTTCCTCTAGCATCAGAAAAATTGCAACTTCTTCACTTAGCTGCCAGATGAAGTAGTTTGCCTGTATGAGGAACCATAACATATGAGGATATAGGGAATATTAAACCTGAGACTTCTCACTTAGCAAGATGTTTTTACTATGAGATGGAGGGGACTTTCTCCGTGTGGGCCTACACGACTCTCTTGCCACATCTCTCATCCTCAGGGAGAACTTGGATGGGGAGAGAGACCTGTGAGCAAAAAAAGTGTCACATATCAGTATCACCCAGGATTCTGTTTGCAATGACAAAGCTGGTAGAAGGATTAGATATAGGGGGCACTTATCTGAGGCAACTGAGGCTCAGAAGAGATCAGTTTGCTCTTTCTTGAGGGAACTGGGGCAGGCATCTCAAGGAAGCATTTCCAAGTAGGATTTTAAAAAATGATCCAGGATTGCCAAGAGCATAGCACTCTAGCAGAGGGAACAGCAGACTCGTGAGTATGCATTGCAGCCTAGTGGGTCAGCCCAATGTGTCCCCTGGTGCCTGGCTACCTTGTGATCAGGAAATGCATGGGCAAATGTGGCCAGACACCTGAAATCACACCCTTCGGAGGGAGTCTGGGGCTGGCAAAAGCCCTCACTTTGAGCAATGTGACTTTAAGTAGGTTCTGTTCCACTTAGGTTGGGTAATGTCAGTTGAAATTGGGGCCTTTTGGACTAACTTCCTGCCCAGTGGAGACTCATCCAATAAATATCAAGAACTGACAGGTTGGTACTTAAGAGAGTCTCCTAAGACCAGCCAGGCTGTCCCTAACTCCGTAAAGTCCCCAGCTCCTATCTGGCTCTGGAGGTTACAGGTTTGGGTACCCAAAGCCCCATTCATGTCCAGACAATGTGTGTCCCTTGCCTAGCAATGACCCCATGGCCCCAAGACATCCCAGAGCATTGGTTGTCAGACTTTCCTGTATCCGAGGTTTTGGCCCATTGTACCCTCTGAGAGATGCCTGGGAGCTACTATGTACATGGCTGAAATGCTTTGCAGTCTGTGAATAGCCACCTCTCCCCATCCCCAAATGTGCTCTGTGTTCAGAGGCAAGCTCACCTTCCATACTCTTCCCTGGCTTTTCTTCATCAACTCCCCATCTTCCTTTTTCCTTCTAGACCCACTTTTATTAATTTAAGGCTGAGCCATTTTCTTTGGACCAATTTCTCCAGCTAACTTCCCCTACCCAGACTTAGCTTTGCCTGACATGGTCTTCCTAAGATTGGGCCATTCATTTAGGATCTCACCTTCTACTTCTTTCCTAAGCCCTAGGTGGTTCCCACTGAGATATGGATACATAATGTGTACTTGAATAAGTACAGCAGTGAGTCACAACTGGTTAATGTCAGATAATGTGTTACAGCCGTGCTGGGGTACTGTTCCAAGTACAGTGACCATTGTGATATTTACCTGAAATGAGCAGATGCAGTATCACTGCTACTGTTACTGTGCTGTTTCCAACCCAGCTCATGGAAATGTACATATAAAATTAAGTGTTTGATATCTTAAAAAGGACATAGCTCTCAGACCAGTGTTTGGATGGTTGCAGTATCCCATGTATAGAGCCATGACTTTGCAAGATGATTGGTTTTGTTCCACTTCATTGTTTAAGGTTGGAAAATGTATAGGCCATGTATCCTACTCAAGTCTGCTTTCTTTCCAACATGCTTGCCACATTGTTTATTCAGTTATTTCACCTCCAAGTTTTTGAATCTTACTATTTGTAGGATTTTGTAAAACTCGGTGAAAACATACTAGTTACTTTTTATTCATTTAAAACTCTGTAGAAAATGAAGGAAGTAGAGATGGAGTGGTATTTTGTAATTATATTTGAAGACCAGTATTCTGTTACAAAGAAATAATTAGAGGGAAGAGGACAGAATATGAGCCTGGATACCTGGAGTCTGTTTTTTGGGCAAGTCAGGCTAGGCACTCTGGGCCTCAGTTTCCCCATCTTCTCCTTTTGGGAGAAGGTTGGACTAAGGAATCTCAAAGATCATTTCTAGACCTACCATTGGAAGGCTGTATATTTTGGTGGCCCCAAAATAATGTCAAGCCTTTCTGTCTGAAACAAATATTAAGCAATAATAATGCAAAGAAAATCTGTTTGGTCCACATTTTCTTTGTAAAAGGAACAAATGGATTTAATGATAATAAGATGTTTCTTGTCTCTTATTGGGCTTTTGTTTAATTCCATTGCCGTCTGCTTTTCAGACGAGAGATTAAGCAGTTACTGTCAGAGTTGGATGAAGAGAAGAAAATCCGGCTTCGGTTGCAGGTGGGTCCATCAGGGCCTTATTTTTAAAATAAATGATTGTTACTTTTCTGCAGATTTAGAGGCACTTTTTGTGACAATCTTCTTAGAATTGTATAGTCTTACTACCCAACCTTCCCTGGATTCCATAGGTCTTGGGGAAGGGAAACATCAGTAAACATACCCCCAGTGAGGCTTCTCATGTGGAATTTATCTTAAATGTCTCCTCTCTGAAAAACTCCCTCTGGTTTCCAGAAGACTTCATCATAGTACCTACCAGAGGACATGGAGCTGGGGAGGCCCCGTTGCCATCTGGCTTCCATCATATGGTCACTGGGACTTCAGAGACAGTAGCTGTCCATACTTGGCACTTCCTCTTCATCTCTTTACTTCTCTCTGGTGGTCACATCAGTCCTGCCAGGGTATCTGAGCTCTGTCCTGCTCTAGCCTCTGATTCAACTATGCCATGACCAAATGGTGGAGAGTATGTGGGCATGCCAGTTGACCAAAGGTCAATGCTCAACTTTCATCTAGTTGTTGCCCTTAGTGATGAAGACACATGCTATTCAAAGAAAGGATAGGTAAACTCACCATGACTTTGGAGGTGCTTACACATACCCCCTTGGGCCAATCACAGCTGTCTTCTGACACCGTAAGATGGTCCAGTGTGTCAGGAAACTGGAATCCTTGCTGCTTTTGACAAACTTTGGATCCAAGTAGCCTAAGAATTAAAACATCTACTTTGTTCCTAGTGCATTGTGCCTGTGTACCTGTTATTAAGGCTTATGTCATTTCTAGCACTGTCATTGATTCTTCATTCAGATATCATTTCACCTTTGAAATTTTCAGGTTGATTATTTTCTTTCCACTGAGCAGGTTGATTGTCTTCAACTTTTATGAAAGCAGCCAATTCATTATAATTTTGTTTGATTCTTTCTTCCTTTTATAGATGGAAGTGAATGACATAAAGAAAGCTCTTCAATCAAAATGAATACTTGATAACTGAGATGTCTCATTATTCATCCTGAGTCCAAGACTCAAATTTTCTGCCCCAGCCAAAATAATCTTGTGCCAAAAGATTAAAGGTTTGCCTCAACATGTCCCTGTTTGAAAGATTAGCACAAAAGTCTTGATAGCACAACACAAATTCCATCCAAGAGGAGAATCTTCCCCATGGTGTAGTCCTGGGTCTGGCACTGGTTGTGACTTAGAGCAAATTGTGCTACAGGCTTTTCTACCTTGAGATCTCATGCGAAACGAAAACTCAGGCAGTTTAGTCCATAGTGGTACTATTTTGATGATATTTTCCATTAATAAAATGTAACTTCAGATTATTCGTTTACAAGCTTTATAATTTTATGAGTTTTTAATCATGTTTTGTCACTGATGCCCCTAGTGTTTGTACTACACCTAGTCAGAAGCGAGTGTCTTATTCTTTGGCTTCAGGTGAAAGCTGCCTCGCTTTGTGTTCCCCTTTAGGATTCTATTACATATGCAATTTTAGATCCAACCCATCCCTTCCCCTGCCAACAGACCCCGCCACCCTAAGAGAAATTTTAGCTTATATATGATGGTATATTTACAAAAAAAAAGAGAGAGAGAGAGAGAAAATCTGGTATTTGCAATGATCTGTGCCTTCTTTTTACCACCCTCTTGATTGGAGCTTTTGTGATGCAGCTACCATGATTCAAAAAAAAGAAAAAAAGAAAAAAAAAAAAGAAAGAAAGAAAAATCTGCCACTTATCTAAGTCCACTAGAGGCCACTGTCTTCACAGCTTCTCTCACCCTAGCCAAAGGTCCTAAGAGGAGATAGCTGAGAAGTTGGGCTCTGTGGTACCAGCTGTGACTTTTTCAGTTCCTCCTACTTTTAGGTTGTTCATGAAACTAGAAATGTCATCCCTGCTTGATTTTTCATCAGCCAAGTTAAACCCCTGCTTCCTGTCCTTTGCACCTTTTGCGTGAACAGAATATGCATTATTAAAGCAAAAATAAATAAAAGTAAAATGCAAATGAAAACAAGGGGGGGAAAGTTGTATTATTTCCTGCACTGGGTTATCTGTGTGTGTTATTGTTTAAACTGTATTCACATAATGTCATTTGCCTTGCTCACTTGTAACCCCTTCCTCAAGTCCAAGAGAATGGGAGGGAGGGTCTTGTTGAAGTATAGCCATTGGATCTTTCTTGCATTTATGGAATTGCTTTTTCCTTCCTAAGGAAAGTGATGTTTGCTTATCTGCTTTATCTTTGTAGCACATGAACAGTTCAGCCTTAGAATATGTAACTGTTTTACATCCTTAGCTGAAAATAAGGGGCATACTGTATTGCAC